AATGTAAGAAATATTTTCCTGTGACTAATGTGGAGTGTTTGGGGAATTGGCATTATCCTTTTTACAAGTCAAAAAACAAGCAAGTTAATAAATTCATCACTTATGTGTGATTATTTCTTCACTTGTTTTCCTATAACTGGGAAAAAAAGTACTTAAAAGAATTAGCTTGCTTGCATCTCTAGATTGTACCCCTGACAAATTGGAAAGTGTCATATTTGTGAGGAGTTTATCCAGGGGGATGAGGGAAGAGGTGCTGTGGCTCTAGAGAGGAAGGAGCATTCAGAACACTGTGGCTGCACAATGCCTTTCCACAGCACTTGTGATCAAAACCTGATCAAAACCAGCTTGGCCCAGCTCAGCCACCACCAAAAAGCTGCTTTAGGAATAGTTTGCTACAAACCCCTTTGAACCATCACCCTTTTTTCAACACTCTTTGCTCTCCAAGGCTCCATTGTCTGGTTTTGCATGTGCTTACATAGCTTTCCGACCACATGGAGCTGTTTTTCACTCCAGCTTATATTAGGTAGCAATAATAAAGATTAATGCACATGCAGAATAAAAATATTTGGGTATCAGCTTCCCAAAATGTTGTAAAATTGCTAATTGATTCCTAAGCTGTAAGGAAAAATTCCAAATGTGAAGTTTTTGGATTTCTCTATAGGAGCACATTGGGGGAACTTTGGATCGCTCCTGCTTTTGCCTTTGTTTTCTACTGGTACTTAGCAACATATCTGATATGCTTTGTTTTCCTAGAAAGGAAATCCTCCATGTGTGAATTCCATTTCACAGACATGTGGGACTGGGAACAAAAAATTCTAGCACCTCTTTGCAGTCTTCATGGGGTCACAGTGGCAAGGTTGAATTAGAGATGAAATCTCTCCTCTATCCAAATTTCAACAGATGATTGTGGTATAAATAATTTGCTGCTTTAGGAGAACAGGGGAGAAGAGACAGAAGTGACAGGTAATTTACTGAACAAGAATTCCACTGCATTTTTAGCTTTGAGACTTAGAGGACAATATTTCAGTAAAGACAGTTGGCATCTGCAGTTGCCCAGTTTCCTAAAATGACAGGTACTTTCAATCTACAGAATTGATTTCTCTGTTTTTTGTGTACCTGCCATCCAGGCTGTATTGATAGATGTAACTGAATTAAGGGATAAAACCTTGTATGTTCTGTAAGTCAAGTGACAGTGTCTCTTCTGTAGACTAAAATAAATCAACAGCTCAAGAGGTAAAAAATGAGAAAGTGAGAGGAGGGGAAAATAAGCCATTTTACAAAACTGTTTAGTGGTAACAGTACTGCATTCAGCAATTACAGTAACAATTAAAGTTGCCCTAATATATTGTTCCACTATGTGAGCAGTCAGGGTCTTTCCAGAAATGGAAGTCACTGGCTAAAATTTCTTTACTAAAGCTTGGAAATAATACTTAGATAGGGATGGCTTTTTTTCTTATTATCAACAAATCATTTTATTTAATTAAGCCTGTATCTCATTTTGAACTGGGATTGCTCCTGTATCCCAGCATCACCCATGCAGAGAGAGCTTGTTAGAATCCAACTGGCACTTTAAACGGAGAGCACATTTTATCATAGAATCATAGAATTTAGGGGGTGGAATGGGCCTTACAGATCACCTAGTCCCAACCCCCTGCACTGGGCAGTGACACCTCCTCACTAGATCAGGTTGCTCAAGGCTCATCCAGCCTGGCCTTGAACACTGCCAGGGTCGGGGCAACCACCACATCCCTGGGCATCCTGTGCCAGTGTCTCACCACCCTCAGAGTAAATTTTTTTTTCTCACATCCAACCTTGACTTTCCTTCCATCAGTTTAAACCCATTACCCCTTGTCCTATCACTGCAGTTCCTAACACAGAGTCCCTCTCCAGCTCCTTGTAGGCCCTTCAGATAGTGAAAAGTTGCTCTGAGGTCTCCGCGCAGTCTTCCCTTCTCCAGGCTGAACAACCCCAACTTCCTCATGTGCCACTAAACTGGAGCAGCTATTTAATTTTTCTGTTTGGGAGGATAATTTAACTGTGCCAGAGCCCAATCTGCTTTTCTTCTCCATTGAATAATCTTAAATTTATTCTGCCTAGTTTTAAATCATGAATAAAGGGAACGCTTTCCTGGATTGCTATGGTGTTGCCTCCAGAGCAGCAGCAATTGAAAGGTGGCTGAGTTTTGACTTACAGATTTGTTATTACAGTGACACAAGTTCCTCTTTGCCTTCTCTAAAAGCTTAACTACATACCTGAGATTATTTTACTCATACTTAACATCTCAGTAAAACATTTCTTTTTCAGGTGGAGTTTAAATTTTATATATTTAAGTACTTTTACAGGAGGTTATTTTTATTATAAAAGCTTTTATTTGGGGAGAGTCAGTGGAAGAACAGGTAATCACTGTAGACATTTGGGCTGTTATTATTCTGCCTTTCAAACCTTATTTAAAGAATCTGGAACCAACTTTAATGTGCAGAACAAATATAAATAGAGCTAATCAAACATGAGTTTGTAAGACTAAGCATATCTGTCTTGAAACTTTTCCTGATGATAAACTCATTACCAAGTCTATATGTAGAACTTACTGTGTAAGCTTAAAACATGTGTGAAGTATATTACAGTGATTTTTTTTTCAAGATACTGGTATTTTCTTGACTGCTGTGGGAGAGCCTTCTCCTGCCTGAGGGTTGTGTTATAAACCTGTCCAAGAAAGGGCTGATCTACAGCACGGTTTGGCAAGCCTGACTTCTCCCCAGAGAACGCTTGGCTGCAGTGCTTAACAAATTTGCTAGAACCAAATTTGCTGGGTCATTACAACAGTTTCATATGGCTGTAGAGCTGGAGCTAGTGTGGGCCTGATTGCAGGGAGGTAATGAGTAAAAGTGGAGTAAGGGTATAAATGCTGAGCAGCAAGAACAGAGCTCAGCTGAGCCAGGAAAGCTCCAGTGAAACTAAAGGTACAGTAGCTTTAGTTAGTCCAGGAAATCAGATTTGGGGCCAGGAGCACTACGAGCCAAAAGATGAACTCATCCAGAGAATCAGCTTCAGGAGTATTCGAAATCAATGAGTCTCAAACAGTGAGTAGTGAACGGCTTTGAAAGTGCTTTTGGCACGAAGCTGTCAAGGCTAAGCTTGGCCTAAATCCATCTCAGGACACAAACTTATAGTCAGCCTAGAGGTGCAGTAAATATAAACTTTCCAATTTAAGAAGTTAACATAACTTTACACTTGTGTCACCTCCAGAAGCTAAACTTGCAAATTTTTCCTTGGTGAACTTTTAGAAGGGAGGAGGATGTAATAGAAGAGGCAGAAAGGCTGGTAGTAAAACCAACCTATTGGGATATCAGAAAGGTGTTGGCTACACATCAAAAACCTAATGGATTTCAAAGAGGGAAAGAAAGCCATAAAGTGTTTTTGACTTGGTGTTTGTCTAAAGCAATTGCCAACAATAATTAGTGGAGAGCACAATCTCAGCAAGTGCTACTCAGATTTTCTTCCTTCAAACCATATTTTCCTAGTTAAATCTTAAGAAAGACATTGTGCTTTCTTGTTAGGAATCAAAACACAGATAAAAGTAATGAAGTCATTCTAAACTTGGTAAAGCAGCCTTCATTAAGTTTCACATGCCAAATTCAGACAGTCAGCAGAAAAATGTTTATAAGCCATTTCTGGGGATGAAAAGGGGCAGATTCTTCAGAAAGCAAAGCAAAGCATTTCATGGCCACCTTTGTCTTAAAGCATAAAGAAGCATAAATTAAGAGCATAAAGAAGGCCCAAACTGGAGTCTTTGCAGAGTGTATGGCCCCAAGTACTGATGTTCTAATAAGCATCTCTTTTCTAGTACTATTGGAATTTTTATGGTTCTATTCTCAAACTCCTATTTCAGGTTCTTTGTTTAACTTGACTCTTGACATCAGTGCCTTTTTAAACCTTAACTTCAGAAAAGTCCAAGATTTCTTTTACCAGTATTGTGTAGTAATTGCATTAATTTATCCTGCAGTGGCCTGTGGTGTGTGGTATGTTGTCTGACTTTCTTGAAAGAGTTCTCCAGCACTGTAGAGCCAATTTCTCTGACACACAGCAGCCATACAACATTGTTATTCTGCAGCAGTAGCATCAACTGGGTTCATAAAAATAAGGAAGTTTTAATTTGCTCAACGATGCTCTTATGTGTATGATTCGGGATAAATTAAGTCACAAGGGATCTGTAGATGAAGTTAGTAGGATTGAACTATGATGTGTGTGTCTTTGAAGAGTAGTTCCTTTGAAGAGCAGTTATGTTGTACCCACCCAGCTGGTGCTTGCACTGCTCACTCTGTTGGTGTACAGAGCTCAGGGATCAGACTTGAAGTAAGGGCATGTGTTTAACCTCACTCTGCTAGAGAAACCCAGAAACCAGTGTGAATGAGGAGAAAAAGATTGGGCCTGGAGGGCCAGGAGGGCCATGGTAGGGGGGGTTGGGACTGGATGATCTATCTCTAAGGTCCATTCCAACCCCTTAACATACTGTGATTCTGTGAAGATAGTTTATTGCCTGATGCTTACCTAAGGAAAACAGCCTGGAGGCTTCTTGCTGGAATTAATACACTATCTAAGCTGGTGCTGGTGGATTTTGTAGGGGTACACTAATGGCAAGTCTCTTCTGGTCAGTTCTGTTTGCAAGTCTTCCCCAGACAGAGTTCCGCATCTAGCAGTGAGCATTAAATGAAGGTGAATTTTTAAATACAGCAGTAAAGATATTTTCAGAAATTCTGTATATCACCATTACAAATGTGTAATGCATGATTTACCTTTTCACACACAGTTCCTTTCCAGCCAGGTTTTGTTTTCAACCATGATTGAAGAAGACTGCTCTGTAGCTCAGCTCTACTTTCATCTGCAGATTAGTTTTCTTACTTCATGCAGTTTTCATTATGCATATTGGAGTTAGTTGCATAAATTAAGATCATATGGACACTACACATAACTAATTCTGTGTTCCCTGGTTCTCTCTGCAGTCGATGAAGGTCGTCTGAAGGAGCTGGGCAGAGTGAGAGTACTGCACAAGAGAACTGTGATGCCTTACAGTGTGTACAAGAAAAGGAGGAAGGGGCCAAGCGACGAGGCCAGCGTTCAGCAGTATGCAAGTTTGGTTGGACAGACCTGTTCAGAAAGAATGTTGTTGTTTAGAAGTTGAAAACTCACCAAATGGCATTTATTGGCTCTCCATTTTATTGCACTGCCACTGGATGATGTGTACCATAGTCGTGTGTTGGTGTGCCCACTCCAATAGCAGCCTGAACCACAGGTATATCCCCAGGCTTAGCTCGATACATGGTACTGTGTGTAAAGGTTGACTCCAATAAACCTTACAATACAGCAAGGCTTCAGCAATAGAAGTTTAGACAAACGTGCTTGCAATATATTTTAATGAAGTAGTTCTAGCCTTTCTATGCATTTTGAATAACTCTTAAGTATCTAAGCAAAATGAAAAACAGGTGTGTTTTTTTTCTTTTTGTAGAGGCAAAGGATGACTAAATCTAAAATCTAGATCAACAGTAATGAAATTACAGATGTTTTCCAATAGCACCTTGGATATCTGTTGTTAAATCTTGCCGTGAAACTTATGCTCACATTTGTCTGCTCCTGAACTCTTGCAAGAGAATTGAAATGTGCAGTTACTTTCTAACGTGAAATCTGGCATGGGTTCATTTTATTTCAGTCGTATGTTTGAAGACAGGGAGAAATTCTGCTCACTGCACATTCTTCATTTGTTTAAAGCAGTGGGTTGGTGTCTGAGGTCCTAGTGAGTGTAGGAGTTGGTGGTAGGTTCTCAGTGGCAGGGGATGCAGTGCTGTGGAAAACTTTCCCCTTCAGAGAAGAAGCAGTTGCACTATAAATATACCAAAGATATGCAGCCAAGTGGCACAGTGGGTTTTGGTATAAGCCTTATCCTTTGTCTGAAAAGAGTGGATATTTTAATGCACATCACTAATGTGAAGTAGAGCTTGGAAGGTTTCTCCTGTAGCTCTCAGTGCACATTTTAGAACTATGCTAAAAACAAAGACCTAAGGTACCACTGCTGAGTTTTGTTGCAATTTTTTTCCCTGCAGAATTGTACAGGAAGACTTAAATATCCTGTTCCTGCATTTTTACTGACTGTTTTGTTCATGGTGCAGCAGCTCCTGGGTTAACATCTTTAATAACATTTTAGTAAATAATTCTGTTGGAAACACAGGAAGTTGTGATCCTTTATGAAAGCACTTTATTATCTCCTGTAGGAACATTGTCTGTGTCCCTGTCAAGTCATACAAGTTGTAGGAATTTGGGGAAATAACGCTGTTGTATAATTCAGTAACCTATTACAACATCCTAACATCACCAGCGCATTTGTGTTTCTTATCTTCTTGGATAACAGGAGCTCATATTTACCTTGAAGTTTCCTGTTAACCTTTGAACAAAGATTCTTACTCAAGGATGTATGAGTGGTTTTCCCCCAGAAAGGAACCAAATTCAGTTTTGCCCTCTGAGGGTTACATCCTCTGTCACTCATGGGCTTGATTTAATTTTAAACTCTTGGCCAATATCGTTAATCAGTTTTTATGTGGAGCAGACAGAAGAATTTTTGGATTCAAGTGCATTTCAGATTTCCATATCTGTTTGATCCCTGTAATATAATTGATAGCGAGTACAGCTTCAACAGGAACTTTTATGTTTTATTAATCAGTATGTTTGTATTGATCTACTCCCAGTCTGCACCAGAACTGGTCAGTTCTGTCAGCATCATGTCTGAGGTGTGTTTTTCTGCTGCCTGGGACTCAGAAGTTTCTGTACACTGTACCATCTAGTTTGTCCATGTCTTATCTCAGCCTGGTGCTGCAGGAGAACCACTAAATGCTGCTCCTGAAGTTTATCATAAAGAATTCCTTTCTGTGGAGAAAAACCTCTTGCCACTCAGTGTCTTGTCAAATAGTGTAACATTCTCTGCCTACACAGTGTGTTGAGGAGCAGTGATGCCCAGATGGCTTACAACCAAAATAAATGAGAAAACTGTTTATGTGATACAAAAATCAGTTAACAGGCACAGAGGAATTCCAGAAGAACTTGCAAAATCATGAAGATTATTAAACCCCTTTAATGATGGCCTCACTGAGCTCCTGGAGAAGTTAAAGTTTCTGTTAAGTTTCAAGGGAGCAGACTTAATGTCCCCACTGGGAGTTCTTGGAGAGCTCCATCTTTTTGTGCCCATATTTGTTACTGATATGCCTTGTACTAGACTTTTATCTGATGCTCTGTTTCTCTTGGGGACCTTTTAAAGGCTGCAGTTAAAGAAAAGTGAGATAAGTGTAAGACTGAAAATTGAGTACAGCTTGAGGTTGTCCTTAGTGTGACCACTGGAGGTAAATGACCATTTCCTGTGGATTCTGAACTGGTGCTTTCCCTTTCTGACCTCCACTGGAACTGCAGCACCACAGCAGACTGAGCTGCTGACCCTTACTCAGCTCTAATACATATTCATACTAAAGCAAAAAGTCAACATTGAGATTAACTCAAAAATTGAGTTCATCTGGTGTAGTTTGCTGAGATCTGACTCACTTCAGTGTTATTTTAGAAGGAAACTGGTGCAGTTTTTTTCAGGACTGATGCCTCTATCCCTGTTTCAGTAGGGGAATAGAGGCTGAGAATGAAGTTCTGTAAATTTTGCCAGTGACTTCAGTTGAGCTGAAGATTCACCATCAGTACAATTTGATCTAAGATGTTGTCACTGACAATTATTGAATTCAGTTATATTTAACTTAGTACAAACTACTTCATAAGAGTGTTTTTTTTTAGTGTAGATAGTTTGTGAGAGTTAATCCCCAACATAAGGTTGCCTTGTTCTCTCATCTGTTGATATAAATGAGCATAAAATGGTGGTAAGAAAATGCAGAGTTATGACCAGTGCTAAAAAACCACCGTTTTTTGTTTTAATTGGGAATAAATGGGAAACTTACTCATCAGCACCTTTCAGCAAATGCAAAAGAACCTGCATGTTGAGTCTGTAATTGCTTTTCAGCAGGCCTGTTTGACTTGCAAGTATAGAAAATAAAGTTATTTCCAGTCTCTGTGAATTATTATAAGAAGTAACAGCTCTGAGTGTGACTTTTGTATTAGTCTGTAGGAAATTCATTGTCCTGGAAGTTGACCAAGTGTCCAGTGAACAGCAAAGTCAAAGAGTCAAAGAGTAGCAGTGATTAGAAGGGATTCCTTCAAAATCAGTGTTCACCATCATGTTCAAAACACAGCACCATATTTTGGGACTAAGTTCTAGATAAATGAATGAAGAGATTATGCTTTGAAATATGAAGAGGCTCCTCACAAATGGAGACTAGATAGGACTAGTTATTTATTGGAGTTAGGCTATACCAGTTTGAGTTGGTTCAACAAAACCCTGTCTCTGAAGTAAGGAGCCAAACAAGCAACACAGAAATTTGGGTTATGTGCACAAAAGATAACCAACTAGTGATTCACTTTCCACCTGGATGAAGCAGAATTCCAGCTAGTTCTGATTTCTGAATGAGACTTTTCTTGAAGCTCAGTGCCACCATGGCTCGAAATGTTGGTTACACTTTTGCTCTGCTCCTTTGGAGTCTAAAACCATCACTCTTTTTGAAGTTCTGTGAATATCTTTGCCAGGAGATCAATCTGAAGCTCCAGCCTGATCAGCCATATATTTCTGAATCCCTTCTCATCCTGATTATCCCAGATAATCCTCCAGACATGTAATATGTGCTCTCCTCATCAGCCTCTCCATCCCCACCATCCCCCTCAAGCCTTAATGGTTCTTCTTGCTCCTTCTATCCCAGTCCTGCTGCAGGAAGAGTCTGCATTTGGAAGGATATAGACATTCCTTAGGGCAGAAATCATCACCACATTTCAAGGAAATCACCACCACATTGCAGGGAAATATCAGCATTTCCCAAAGCATTGTAGCCACATCTCGTATCCAGTACATTTATGAAACTGCATCTTCAGAGCCTCTTACAGATGTCACATAAGAGTGTAAAACAAACAAAAAAGCCAGACTGTATTTCCACTTACCAAATCATTTGTGTTTTTTTTAAGTTAGTCAAAGTGATGGAGAGTTTCCAAGCCCTGACTGTGGCTGTGCTTAGGTCAGGGCAGTGAGCTGTGTTCCTGCATTAGGCTTGAGGAAGGTGCCACAGAGAGGACACAAAGGAAGAACTGGTGATGACCCTGAGTAACAGAGGGAGGCACTGAAGGTGGCTGGTGGTCAGAGAAGCCTTAACAGGTAAATAACCTTTAGTTATGAGACAGATAATAGTCTCACTGGGTAAAAAAACCACACTGTGGAAAACAAATAGTGTAAATAACATCATTTATACATGGTGTTCCCCATCTGTGTTGACCATAGCTGCTGATCCAGTGAGTGTACCACCTAGGTGGGGTACAAAAAGCTTCTTTTAGGTGAGGTTTTGTGAAAAGCAGGGTGACTAAGCCTCAAGTATACAAGCACTTATTTAAACAGAACTTTCAGGAACAGAACTGCTTAAGTGCAAAGATAATTGAGGGTGTTAAAATATGGTGTATAAGCCAAAATGTATTTCCAGGAGCAGTTGTGCCATAGTAACTCATCCTAAACATAGAGCCCAAGTGCTAGTTGTGGTTGGTGGATTCCTATATTAAATAGTAGTCTATAACTTAATCTACTATATTCATTTTATAACACATTTAAAGCTCATTGTGTGAAAGCTTTGTTTTCTAACAGTACGAAAGGAATGTAAATGAATTAACATATAAACCAAAGTGCAGCATATATTAATGCTATCTGTGTTAATACAAAACAGTCTTAACCCTGAAAACAGTGGCTCTTACTGATCATCTTAGACGAGCAGCAGCTCAGAATCTTTCTGGCTTTATTCTTCATGGTTATGTTTTACTGGTTTGATGTTTATTCATTTCCTTATTATAACTATTCCCATCAGATTTTTGTGCTTCCCATCGGTTATTTCCACTTCAGTTTTGACACATAATACTTGTGTCTGCCAAAAGTCCTGCTGAGAGATTGCTATCAGGACAAAAGAAAGTGTTGGAAAGTCTGTTAAGTAGTGAGAAGAGAGCAGAGTCCACGGGGACAGTCAGTCTGCAACCTTTGTGCTGCAGAAAAAAGCAGGATTTATTTATGATTTAGTCTGC